AATTCTCTACAGATAAATTACCCCCTTATTGCCTGCTCCCAGGGTGAACCACTCACTCTCTAACCTCTCCCAGTAAGCCACTGAAGACTGGGAAAACAGGACTGGGGTCCATTCTGCTCCCTGGCCTGTTTGCAAGCGAAAGTGCTTTAAATATCCTTAAGTATATCTCAACCCAGTGTTACATGTCCTGAAAAATTCTGTGACACTCATCCTTGAGGAAAATTTTAACTATGTAGGATATCAGACTGTAATGCAGGCTGAGGCTATGGAAGGCAGTAACCTCTCAGATCTACTGTCAGAAGCACAAGCGCCCGACAGCTCCAAATGCTGTGCTCAGAATCTACCACTGCACCCTAGGTGAGGCCCTCCTTCCCACGCATGGCTCCCAGCCTGTGGCTGGACAAGGCAGGCCAATGACTCCCAGATGTGGACTCTCTGATGGCAGTTTGGGTTGGGAGACTGGAGGACTCCTCATCTTCCTTGCTAAACTTTTCTCAGTACTGCACTTGGGATCTAAGACTTTGTAGCCAACTCCTCCTCCTTCCCTCGTGCCTTCACAGGAGTCAGATCCGTCATGTCTGAGGGCTCTCCTGGCCCTCTGGCTTCTTCCCCATTTCCCCTCACAGGTACTACCCAGATAATCTCTTTCATGACTACGAATGTTTTGGTGTCTGTCTCAGAGGATCCAATCTAATGCGAGAAGGTTGTAACATGTGTAAAAGTAATTTTTCTATTCTTTTTGAATGTGGGGAAAAAAACCCATACTTTCATCAAAGACAACTTAGTGAATTTCCAAGAAATATATTAACAAAGCATCAAACTCAACTAGGCATGGGACCAGCAGTTAGCATAATGGCTATGTCACTGGACTCTGATGTAGTTGACCATGGTTTTGAGTCCCAGACCCAGTAGCTTAAACTCACGCCGGGCACGTGTGCATGCATACCCAAGATCCTGAGAGGAGAATGGAGGAGAAGGGATTGAGGCATGACCATGTCCCTGGCGGGTGATTTCTTCCTTTCTGTCTCTCTGTCTTTGTCTGTTTTTCTGGCAAGCATACATGCCCTATAGCAAAAACGTCTCAAAAAAAAAAAAAAAAAAACTTAACTAGGCAAACCAACCTCATCAGAGAAAACCAAATATGCCAAATCTTCCTCAAGGATTTTCTATGAAAGACTTCAGCAAAAATAACAAAGACACTGATTCACTGAAGTATTTACATCATTAAAAGATTGCATCCAGCCAGTGGTATGGTAATTAAGGTGGCTAGATCCCACATGGTTGACTGTGTGGTTCAAGTCCTAGACCTGGCGGCTTGAAAAACCCAGTAGGCATGTGTACATGTGTACCAAAAATCCCAAGAAGAGAATGGAGAAGGGACTGCAGCATGGCCATCCCTCCAGGGGGCGATTTCTCACTTTCCCTATTGCTATCTCTCTCTTTCAGGAGAGTGCACATACTCTACAGCAAAACTAACAAAACAAGACTGGCATCCTATAAAGCATCACCTATGAGAAGACACGACTTTCAAACACAAAATGTTTCACAAAACAGCCACAAAAATGGCACCACATTAGTGAAGAGCACGTCACAGTATTGTCTGTGAGTCCCCTTAATTCTGAACATACCGGAAATCTGTACCTTCATGTAATCCACCCTCGGAGGCATATCCTACTCCCACTACTCGTAAGTACACAAGTGATATGTCAAGCATCTCGTATGAGGAAACTTCAAAAAGCTCCTAGAAGAAAAGTGGGATTAAAGTACGAATTTATTTTGGTGCAAAAAATAAATAAATAAAATTTGCATAGATTCTTTATAATGAGTATTTTCCATGACCTTTTTGAAGACCTCACATATGTTAAATATCGACTTAAGTGCGTAACATGGTTGGTTAATCTGACCACCTTCTTGAGCAAGTACAATATTACTAAGCCCCCCCTTCTTTAAATTTGCTATACAGCATGTGCACTTGCCAGAGAGAGACAGAGAAAGTGATAAATCACCCCCCTGTGGGGATGGTCATGCCGTAGTCCCTTCTCCCCCATTCTCCTCTCAGAATTTAGGGCACACACACATGCCCAGCGTGTTTTGGAAGCTGCCTGGTCCAGGACTCAAATCATGCAGATGGCCTGGAACCCAGCCACCTCGGTCACCATGCCACTAGCTGGCCCAGTGAGCCCACTGTTTAGAAGAGTAAACTAAGGCTCAGAGAGGGCGAGAGATCTACCTAAGCTCCACAGCGCAGGAGCGGAGCAGGCGTTCAAACTTGGCTATCTCCTCTGCTCTCCTGAACTGCACCGCCAGCCTCCAGGCAGAATCTCGGATGGCCATGGGAAGGCTTCAAGGAGTCAGCTACTTGTACACCATGCCACTCTTCTGAGAAGGAAATGGCATTGCCTTCACTGCCCTCACTGGAATCAGCAGTGACCAATGTCCACATCCTAGAAAATACAAACGGACCATACAGCATTAGTAGAATCCCGGGAGTAGAAAGGAACGGAGAGCTCATCCAGGCTAGTGTCTTCAGTGAACAGATAACAAAATAGGAGGCATTTCCTGTTTCATCGAGAGCCACCTTTTAAGATTCACCTTTTAGATGTATCTACGTGGGCGTCTGGCATCTCAGCCCACACCGAGGAGGACGAGCCCTTGGCCAAGGAAGTATGAGGTACAGACAGGTAGGCGCTGGTTGTTTTGGTAAATTTATTCAAACGAAGAAAACATTCCATTCCCACGCCACCCTGCACTGCCACCACTAAACAGAAACAATGATAGCTTCCATCTCCCTCTGGCCCTCGGGTGGTTCCCAGGGCCGGTGAGACAGCAGGGGCTGGGGGAGGCACCTCCTTTCCCCAAGTACCTACGCCATTTCTAACCGCCAAGAGCAGAGGAGTGAGAAAAGGCAAAGGAGGCAGTTCTGTGGTTCCTAGGAAAGAAAAGGGTAATATTTCTTTCCTACTTGCTCTCCTGCACAAAAGGAATAGCTTTCTCCAGAATGACACAAAACTGAGGACTTCCCCTTTTCCATTAGAAGAGGAGATTCAGGATCCCTTGTCTGCTGAACACCTTTCTCCCTGGGGCAGACTGCCACTGTCAACAGAAGCAGGTAAATACCCACTGTTCATTAATGTGTCTGTTTCTTTTTCCCAAGCCAACATGTGGATTTAATTGAGGACACTAACGGGCATGAGAAACACATGCACAGTATTTATTACATTTTCTTCTGGATAAAGAAAAGGAGCAGTCAGACAGCGACAGTTGTTAGTGCGATACAAATACCATATTTTAATACTCTGTCATTCACCTCCCGTGGGTGCCACAGTAAGCAAGGTAATGACAGTGCGAGCTCTGAATGGCTAATTCAGTTGCTCACACTTTATTTGTGCTCATTTGTTTATCTATTTATTTTCAGAGGGGGGGAGAGGCACCCCCGCAGGGTCCTTATACCACAATCTCCCCAGCCTCGCCAGCCTGGATCGCAAGCACGCATGCACACTGCGCACGTAGAGAGGGCTTGGGCCCAGAGCCTGGGACCTCCTCACGCGGATCAGCACTGCTGAGCAGTTACCGCTGCACCACTCTCTGGCCCTGCCGTTTGTTAAACAGCAGCCCCATCTGCATTACTTCAGGCTCTGAGGCCACCAATTGGTCTAGCTACCCTCAAATTGTTTACCCATTTTTAGAAAAGTGTAAAGATTTCCTTTACAAATGGCTGAGACGCAAGCAATTTCCTTTCTAACTCTGTAGTAATGTATCAGGGCACAGGAGCCATCCGAAAGTCTCCGACGTGCAGAAGCTGTCCCATCGTCTTCTGAGCCTGTTCCTTACAGCCTCCAACATGAAATTTGAGTTTTGCTTATACAGGTGCCACAAGCCTGTCTCAAGCTTACTCGCTTCCTCCTGGAAGCCCCTCCTGACTCCAGCAAAGGTTAGCCACCTCCTCCTATGCGCTATACTTGTGCTTAAGGTCAGCACAGGTTAGGTGTCGTCTCTGTTCAACTGTGAACTCAAATGAGTCCAGGATGAGGTCGGCCTTGTTCACACAATCTTCCAGAACCTAGCACAGCACTAGGAACCCGGCAAGAGTCGCTCGTTCTGCCAAACCCTTACACAGCGTGTGATTTCACGGAAAGCCTCCCCTCACGGTGGGACCTCTTCTCTTGGCCTCCCACCACGTTCTTTGTTCTTCCAGTGGCTGCTTCCTCCCTCTGCCCTTCTCTACAATTCCGCCCTGGTCCACCTTCTCCCTGCCAGCATGCGGAGACATTAATAAACACGTGCTGAATGAAGGCACGCCCTGCTCCAGAGTCACCCTGGCAAATGCTATGCAACTGCAGAGCTCCCGTCATCACATTAGACTCAGGAAGGCCACGCGCCTTCCCCTACGCTCAATTCCCCACCTGGGCAACAAACCTTCTAAGAGCAATATGTTCACAGCTACACCCAGGGGATTAACTGTGCATAATTTGCTCGTTTCCCTCCCTAGTCTCAGCTAAAAAAATGATAGCAAAGGAATTTGAGGGAAAAAAAACACACACACACACAAATATAAGGGCAATGAGGACAGAGAACAAAATGGTGAACCAAAGATTCCAACACGTTTGACCCTTTTTCTTAAAAAAAAAAAGTGTTTGTTAAAAAGATGCCTGTGCTTTCCAGAAAGACAAAGAGAGGGAAAGGAAGGGAAAGGGAAAATCACCCCTCCAGGGACAACCACGCCACAATCCTTCTCCTCCATTCGCCTCTGGAGATGCTGGGCATGCACACACATGTGCCCAGTATGCTTTTCAAGCTGCTGGGTCCAGGACTTGAACACAGTTAGCTATGAGGGATCCAACCGTCTTAGCCTCCATGCCACCTGTTGGTACAAGACTATTTTTGATTAGGATTCTTAACCATTTAGGTTCTTTTGAGTCCTCTTACATGCAACTTAGAAATACTTGTTTGAATAAATAAATACCTTATGTTCAGAAGCATAAACAAATAACATACAAGTATTAAAGAACACAAGAAAAATTGTTAGATTTATTGGCATTACAGTACAGTTTTAATACAAGTTAAATGCAAACACAATTGTTAACTATTCAGTCACTTATCCTTCAAAATGATTTACCAAGATCAACCTTAAAAGGTTTATAAAATCCCAATGTAAAAAATATCTTGCTCAATTTAACTCTAAAACTCCATATATAAATTCAGAAATTGGAACTTATCAATAATCACATCAAATGGAGAGTTATTCACTGAGCAGTAAAAAATGATTTCTGGTTTTAAAATTAAGTAGCTCCAGGTAAAACATGCCATTTCCCAGGTACGCTATCTTGGTATTTTGCACAGAGTCCCAAGGCAGAGGTTGCTTCTGGCTTTACAAACGACCAGGGATGGTGGCCTGGGAGGCTGACTTATCACAGGTCTTCTGCTCTTCTTTCCTGAGAGGTCCTTGGCTTCTTTGGGAGGGGGCATATGAATCGGTTTCCATGGAATGGGATTATAAAAGGCTGGTTCTGGATAGGAATTTCCACTGTAAAAACCTAAAATTATTGAAAACCAGAACAAAACAAGAAAACGACTTTTTGAGATCAAAGAAAACACTTACTGCTATAAATATTGAAACAACAATTATAAGAACCCAAATGATGCTAATGCTAGAATGCCCTCTACTCCCTCACCCCTTCTCTAAGGAGGACAGGAGCCCACGCCTCTGAAAACTGGCACATTTCCAGCCTGCCTGAGGTTCAGACCCTTGGAGCCAGGCCCAAGGTTCACAAATCCGACTCTTGGTTTGTGCTTTGCCCCTCCCAGGGTGAGGTGGGGTCCGGGCTGCTGCTCTGGCTCCCCACCCTGACTAATCCCTCCCTCCTACGGATCACAAGCACGCATGCACATTGTGCACGTACAGAAAGGGCCAGGCCTGAGGACTCTAAACTCTATAATAAAGAACAGAGGATCATGGGGCCCAATACAACAGGGCCCTAAAAACAAAACAAAACAAAACAGAAAACCTGTATAAATAAAAACTCCTACAAAAGCTTTACTAAGAAAATAATTTTAGAACTTTGAAATTGCAAACTTCTACTTTCTCAGCTAAGTCTGGGAAACTATCATGTACTGTTAGGTTGTCGGGGAAGGCAGGACATGTTTTTCTATGCAAAAATACGTCACGCCTTTCCCGACGGCCCAGTAGTTTCCCTTGTCAGACTCTAAAGCTTCCAGAAACAATTGTATTTGCATGTGTACCTGAATCAATCAAGATTCTTGAGAATCACTGAAATTATGAATTACCATCACTTAAATTAATCAGAGTTCAGAACACCATTGTAATTTTGATGACTGATTATGGCGCTTTCTTCCATGGATGCACAGGAAGTGTCAAAGGGATTGTGCCGCCCGACGTCTAAGAACCACGCGGAGGTGAATATTTGCAAATCACCTCCAGATCCTTCAGCCTACAGCCAAAGTCCTTTGTTGTATATTTTTTTTAATGATTGAGCATAAAGAATAGATCTATGAGAAAGACAGCATTCAAGGAAGCATGCTGTTCATGAGAACTACATTCATGAAAAATGCAAAAAATGTAATAAAATGATCTATGATCTGAGCAGTTACCTTCTGGTCAATATGTTTATTCCTGCCTAAAGTTTGAACACCACTGATCATTCATTAGGCCAAAGTCACTGCTTATCACCCTTTTTTTAGACAAGGACAACAAAGAGAAGGGAGTAGGCCAAGCTCGGGAGCTGTAACCGACGGCCTCTGTGACATGAACGGAGGCCCCTCTGACAGCAGGGTGTGCCTTCCAGACACTGGTGGCCCACTCGACTGCACAGATATGTCAACACTCACTTCACCAAGATGGTCAAAACAAAGTCTGGAATATGTTCTGTTGTGTGAACAAAACAGAAGGGGAGGATTTTAATAATCAATCACTTAAACAAGTGAAGGCAGCTGTCAGCAAGGTCTGAGCTTCTACCACAAGGCACAAAGGAAAACGCATGGTGCCGTTTAGAACCAGACCGAGGCTGAAGGCCCAGGCGGCCGGCCGTCTGGTGAGCTGCCCACACTCGGCCAGGCTCAAGGAATGCACAGACACCAGACACTCTGCCTTAAAGACGGTCAGAGGAGGGAAGGCAAATGACTCCTTAAATATATCCTAAGCCTTTATTTATCACCCAAGAAACGGATGAGAGTTTTACTTAGATGTTAGAAATCATTAATTTAGGGCCAGCCACTGGTGTGGTGCCTAGATCCCATATGGCGACTGTAGTTAGAATCCCAGACCCAGGGGCTTGAAAAACACATCAGGCACATGTACATTTATGTGCCAAAATCCCTAAAGAAGAAATGGAGCAGTGGATTGTGGTATGATCATTCCCCATGGGGAGTGCTTTCTCACTTTGCTTCTCCCCTTCTAGTACCCCACACTTCCCCTCTCCCTCTCTCCCCATGAAAGCATGTGCCCTCTAGCAAATTTAAAAAAAAAAAGGCAAAGAAGTCATTACTTTAAAGCATAAGTTCGTGGTCTTGCAACTATTCTTTTTTTTTTTAGTTGCCAGAGGGTATGTACACTTGCCATTGAAAACCAAAGAGACGGAGAGGGAAAAAGGACCCCCCCCCCCAATGGTGCATGGTCACATCATAATTCCTTCTCTTCCATTTCTCCATCCCGTCAGAATTTTGGACATCCATGTACATGTGTCTGGCATTTTTTTCAAGCCACCAAGGCCAGGATTTGAACCATAGTCAGTCATGTGAGATCCAGCTCCCTTAACCACTAGGCTATGGACCCTGGCCCCAACTAGTATTTTTGAGAAAATACATATACATATATATGTGTGTGCATGTACACACACATGCATATACACATACATATATACACATACACACTTACAGAGAAATACACACACACACACAGATGCACAAACACACACATATCTTATATCTATATCTTCTGACTATCTGAATTGTGGAGCATGACAACAAATTGGTATTATCTCCACAAGAACATGGTATGGGGACTAGTGTTAGCACAATGACTATGTCACTGAACTCCCATGTGGCCGACCGCGGTTCAAGGCCCAGACCTAGTGGCTGAAACTCACGCCAGGCACGTGTGCGTGCGTGCCCAAGATCCTGAGAAGAGAATGGAGGAGAAGGGATTGCGGCATGGCCATCCCCATTGGGGGGGTGATTTCTCGCTTTCTATCTTTCTGTCTGTCTTTCTGGAGAGCGCACGTGCCTTATAGCAAAAACCTCTCAAAAAAAAAAACAAAAACAAAAATGAAAAAATATAGTATGTTATAATATAATCTTTCAGAAAATAGTTATTTGGAAGAACTATAATTTTTACACATTTACTTTCTGTCGAAAGGAAGTAACATGTACAGTATTTGCTTCTACCAACCATATTTATGTAAGCTGCATAACATGAAAGCCGACCTGTCAGTTTTCCATTGGCGTATCCATAGCTCTTTGCAGCCGGCCGAGGTTTCGTTTTCGCAGTTTCCAACCATTCCTTAAACTTTTTTTCTGCTATTTCCTTTTTCTCCTGTAATTCAGCTTGCCGTTGCTTTTCTTTTTCCTTAAAATGACAAGACCAAAGAATTTCCAGGGACATTCTGTAGCTAAACATTCTATTCAAATTCTACTGATTTTTCCCCTAGTACCTTCCTACCCCAATGGCTTACTGACCATAATATTGAGTTATATTTCTATAATTTGAAAGCAAAATGGTACATGAGCAAAGATATGATATTAAGGTGTCTACCTCTGAACAATGTTAAGATGTCAGACCCAATAAGAAAAAGGCAGTATACTATTTTTTCCTCCTTAAATAGTAATTTGTAAGACAGTAGTAAGACTTCCCATAAAAGTACTTTGGAAAATCTTTATAGCAATGACAAGAAAAAGGTTATTTTTGTTTGTTTGTTTGATTTTTTTTTTTTGAGAGGTTTTTCACTATAGGGCACGTGCGCTCGCCAGACAGACAGAGAGAGACATAGAGACAGAAAGCGAGAAATCACCCCCCAGAGGGGATGGTCACGCCGCAATCCCTTCTCCTCCATTCTCCTCTCGGGATCTTGGGCACGCACGCATACGCACCCGGCGTGAGTTTTAAGCCACCGGGTCCGGGACGCAAACCGCGGTCGACTACATGGGAGTCCAGCAACATAGCCATTATGTAACTGCTGGTTCCCAAGAAAAAATTTTGAACCTGACTGAAAAAAATGTCAATAGGTTAATATTGCTTAATCCAAGAAAAGCACAAAGCATATTGATGTGTGAGGCATAGACACTGTGCAGTAGGATGGATAGGGGTAAGTCTGTGCACTATTTTATGCTAAGATAGTGCTGCTTTTCTACTAGACACTTCTAGAACTTAGCTGGCTATGTCCTCCAACTGGCCACTTCCATAAAACACACCTTTTCTTTCTTTTTCTTCTCACATTCTTCAGCATTTTTTTTCTTTAACCATTCTTGATATTTTTCTTTTGCTTTTTCTTGCAAATGTTCTTTCTCCAGTTCTTTTGCTGCTTTTTCTTCCATTTCTTTATTAATTTTTTGTTCTCTTTCTTTTCTTTGCTTAAATAAAAATGGAGCAATTTTAATCAGAATACACATAACTGTTCTCATATAAGGAAAAGTGTTACTGCACAGTAATGTTCTAGAAGTCAGTATCATCGTGGTTTAGCACGGTCTATGAGAGAAAGCATACCTTCAGCTACTACTGTTCCGCCAGCCTCCCTTCCGGACTGTAAGTTCCATGGGGACAGGGACAAAGGTATTGCTGACCAAAAGAACCTCAGAGTCTGATTCAGCCCTGAGTTAACAGTAGGAACCCAATAAATACTCGTTGAATAAGAATTACAACCTGTTAGATTGTCTTCAATCAATGTATTTGAATGCATGTTTACCTTTATTCTAAGTAGGAGATATAGATATTATATATATAGATATAGATATTATATAGAGATAGATAGATATTATTTATATATATATAAAATTCCTGGACAGTTCACCAATACAAATACTTAAATTTTCACCATCAGTGAGTTAGAGGACATAGAAAAGATCTTGAAACATACCCCCCTCAGTCTGTGTATGACTCATGGTTCTTCTACAGTCTTTGTCAACCAGGAGTCATCCATTCCCTATATTGTTCATAACTGCGGCAACTAGCATTTACTGAGTGCTCACTGTATCTGTTACTATCCTACATACTTCATAAGGACGTACTGTCAATGAATTCTTACAACCACAATGTGAGGTAGATACTATTATTATGCCACTTTACAAAAGAGGAAACCAAGGCACACAGAAGATAACTGGCTTAAGGTTACACAGATGGTGAGTGGCACATCAGCACAGGCCATACAGACATCGGAATGACAGAATGTTGAAAACAAGGTTATATCGATAAATGCAACAATGTAAATAAAATGTCAAAATTCCTTATTTATACCATTCCCCAAAATGAGGTCTAGTAGGGTCTGAATAAACGTCTTGTAAAAACAATTCAAAATTTGACATTTTCTCATAGAAAAACTCCAGCTTCTGATAGCTTCATTGGTGGATTCTATCACACATTTAAGGAAAAAAGTATAACAAATCTTACATAAATAGTTTTAGAAAATAGGGACCAGCACTTAGCATAATGGCTATGTCACTGAACTCCCACGTAGTTGACCGCAGTTCGTGTCCCAGACCCGGTGGCTTAATACTCACGCCGGGTGCGTGTGCGTGCGTGCCCAAGATCCCAAGAGGAGAATGGAAAGAAAAATTTTTTTAAAAATTTTTTGAGAGGTTTTTTGGAGAGGGCGTGTACACTCACCAGAAAGACAGAGAGACAGGAAGCAAGAAATCAACCCCCCATGGGGGATGGTCACACCGCAATCCCTCCTCCTCCATTCTCCTCTCGAGATCCTGGGCATGCACACACATGTACCTGGTGTGAGTTTAAGCTACTGGGTCTGAGACTCGAACAGCAGTCGACTACATGGAAGTCTGGCGACATAGCCATTACTCCAACTGCTGGTCCCTAGATTTAAAATTTGATTTTTTTTAAGTGTATTTCCTTCATGAGAGTAAGACACAGAGAGACACACACAAGCCCACTTGACAGTGTCCCATGCTGTAGTTTCTCCATCCCAAGCCTTCCCAGCCAGCCAGGACCACAGGCATGTGCGACCAGTGTGGAAAGGCCAACCAGAGAAGGAAATGGAAAACTGATTCTAAACTGTATGTGGAATTGTATATACAGAGTAATTAAACAAATCTGAAAAAGAAAGTATCTACACTCTCTGATTTCAAGAACTATAAAACTCTAGTAACAACTTAGTGTGGTATCGGCACAAAATATAAATCAACAGGACAGAATATAATACAGAAATAGATCCATACACATATGGTCAATGGATTTGAAGCAACAGTGCCAAAGTAATT